ACTTATAGCAAAACAACGACCTTAACAACTTATAGCAAAAATACCTGACAACAGAGCTCAAAGTGTGGGATCATTTGAAGAAAATGAAAGAGAAACCTGTGTAATATCTGCAGAGCAGAACTTACCTTCCACAGCTATTATTTTTAGTTAGCATATAGCTAAAATCTAACCATGGTTATATAATAGCAGCTGCATTCTGACGTGATAAGCTCTATGTTTTATATTCAATTAATGTTTGATCAGATTAGTCGACTAATCGAAAAAATAATCTGTGATCAATCGATTATAAAAATAATAGTTTGTGGCAGCCCTAATGCCCTAACTGAAAAATAAATTCTCACAATAAATATTCTCTTATAATATTCACTGTTTTTGTTTGAAATAGTTTTTAAAACTGTTGTTGAGTTTTGTGGTTGTTTTTGTTGTTGCATTGTCTTTAGTGATGGGCTGAGCATGAGCACTTAACGAAACTGATAAGTTTAAAAAAAAAGTCATATAGTTTGAGTTAAATCTAGTAGAGGATGGTGTGAATATTTGTTCAAGCTTATGAAAATTGTTCAGTTCTTTGTTAAATTCACAAACTTTATTGTTTCTCACCTTTCGCCAGGACCGTTCAGCTGCAGTGGAGTCCCAACGTCTCCGAGTCGTTGAAGAGCGGAAACAAGTTTCAGTGTTCGGACTTCATCCTCGCTGTGGGACACAACGCTGCTGGTGAATAACGTCCACTTCTCACGCAGTCGACCATCAAACTGCACAGCTGATGTCATTACAGATCAAATGAATGGTTGATGTCTGCAAATGTCTATCTTGGCTCAAAAAACTGTTTTTTGACTTCAGCTGTGCTGCAAACTTTTAGCATAATTATGGAACATGACCATTATATCACATTGTGACTAATCCAATTGTATTATGACTAATCACAATAATAATGTGYCATTTTGGTGACTGGATCACAAGACCTGTTATTATGGTGAGTGTTCTTGGTAATGGATCAAACTTGCGTCATGAACCCCACATTGGTGTTATGGCTCTGGGGTTTGTGTGCACTCTGAACATGAGCGCTTCCTGGAAGCTGATTGGCTTGTGGGTCTGAATCTGCAGGAATCACGAGCCTCAAGGTTGTTTAGTCTGTGCCACACTTGTTTACTTCTGAACTCATGACCTGTTTTGGGCATTTGTTTCATTTATTTTTTTAAAAAATTGCCACAAAACACTGTTGACTCGTTAACTCTTGAGTTCACCCGTATTAAGATAATTTTGTTTCTGCAGGATGACAACTAACGATTGTTTTATTATCAGATAATCTAATTATTGCTTTTCAGTTAGCTGAGGGGTTTTTAATTGTATGCAAGTTAGAAAAATATATGAAACTTCTTCCTGAAGCACATATTTAAAATGATGTTCCAATTTTTGTCTAATTTAAGAAATTTTTGCTTTTAGCAGTTTGACCAGGGCTATTCAATTAAATTGCTCCGGGGGCCACAGTTAATGCAGAACAACGGCACAGGGGCCGAACATCCAGAAATTAAAATCATTTTGTAAATAAACCGAGTATTACAAAGATCTGTTACCTTTGAAATAGTTTATTTTGCTGCATTTAATCATGAATACAACATACAGAACCCTGGGTAATAAATGTAGTGATAGTAAAACAATATCAAAAACAAAAATAGCATATTCTACCG